CAAATCACTGTTTCGCCATATCCAAATCTGGCGCTGTATACGGCTGGGGTGAGTCATTATTCATTAGGGTCCCCTGATGCAAACTGACGTATTTGTCATCTAACAGGGTAAGGACAGATGATAGCTCCTTTCTCTTTTATTCATCGAGTGACTTTGGTTTCGTGTATTGATGTCCCTAACATGACATTGCTGTCACGTCACATTCATAGGCGTTGAAAGAGATCTAACAAAATTTTAATTTCAAACTTGATCTTGATACGGCATTATTCAATTCTGTTTTGGAAGGATGGTAAAATGTGCTGCGTTAGGCTGTATCAATCAGTTGGATGGCAAATTTGAGTTTGTCAGCTTTCCATCAAATGCAAATGAACTTAGAACATGGAAAGTGAAGTGACCGAATGGGGAAAATTGGTAAATACATCATCAAAATATTCGAGGTTAAACTAACACGAAATCACATATAGGTCGCGTGCACGATGACCGACCCTGGAGGCAAAATATTGAAACATAACCTCACTCTTCTGTGAATTATCGAAACACAACCTCACTTTTTTATTTGTTTACAGAGGAATCAAAAGGTTGAAATAGTTTTTCACAATATTTTGGCATACGAATCGTGTTTCTTGCGTTATTCATTAATTCAAGCATGCCTTCGCATTGTGCTGTTGTACAATGCACAAAAAATGCAGCAAGAGAACTAGGGAATATGATTTTTCAGGTAAATAGTAATCTCACATAGTTATCATTATGAAATGTTGTCATTCCTTATTAAAATTCCTTCTGCCTTCTGCCACTTCTGCAATACAAGCTAATACTGCTAATAGATTGAAAATGTCTACAACACACACGATCGTCAGCATGTCAGACCAGTCCTCCCGATTGATTGCATGAATTCAATCTTCTTGCATTATTCTAGAAATTTCAGGTATATTTCTATTAGCTCCTATTGCAGAAGGAATTCCGATGAGAAATCAAAGAAATAACCAAATTTCAAAAATGAAAACTATATGTGAGTGACTATAGTAGGTACTTACTTTCAAATCATAATGTACCATCCGGATTCCTTCTTCTTCCGCTGCAGTTTTTGTGCATTTTACAACAGCACAATGTGATGGCATGAGCGAATTGATGAATAGCGGAAAAAAACGATCCATATGCCAAAATAATTGTGGAAAACTATTTCGATCACTTGTAAAAAAATAAGAAAAGTGAGGTTGTGTTTCAATGTTTTGCCTCCAGCGTCGGTCATCTGACAGTTCTTGCACGCAACCCATCATACTTTCTCATTGTGCCTATAATTATCCACTCCACAAGTTTTTGAATTCATTTTAGTAGAAACAGTTTTGATTAAAATGGAGGATTAAAAGAAGAGGCATATGCCCTACCAATTAAAGAACGTATACCTACATTCAGGAAATAATCAGTATTCGTGAAAAACTGCAAAAATGATTAGGAATATATACAGCACACTTGACATATGAGCACATTAGTTTAAATACCTACATACAATTTTTCACCATTTCTCAGCCATAAGGCTTAGTCTGAAATCAAAATTAATTTATTGATAGTTACTGCCTAAGAACAGTCTCATTTGGTAAAACGTATTAAACTCTCAGAAACATTTGCTCACTGCCTCACAAAGATTATGCTGGAGTTGAAAAATTAAAAGCTCGAAAATTATCATCATCATTTGGATATAATATGTAGAGTTGAATGAGAAATTACATGTGGAAATTACGTATGATACGCCAATGTCCTCAATATAACCTAAAAAACAACAAATGTCAGAAATCTAGTGTTTATTCCCAGAAATGGATAAAGATGGAATTATATAACTGTTTCACAAACACTTTAGAGTGAGAGGAGACGAGGATCTGTCCGTACCCTGTTAAGATGACAAATACGTCAATTTACATCAAGGGACCCTAATCATTCATATATAGATAAGGAACTCCATTTTACCATTTTGGTAGATTTTGTGTGTTATATTGTTATCATCATTATTATTTTTTTTAGGTAAAAATACTCGGGGCCAACTTGGTCTGAACGATACTCAGAACAAAATTTTTCCTACTCAACTTCGTACCCTTAGAAATATAAAGGTGCGGTATATATCTTGTGGAGAAGAATTTTCTATATTTTTGACGCTGGACGGGGGTGTTTTTACGTGTGGTGCTGGTATGTTTGGACAGTTAGGACATGGAACTAATAGTAATGAAATTCTCCCAAAACAGGTAAGTTCTCATAGATTTTGTTCCCAATATTTGTAAGCTCTTTGATTGAGAGAACACTGTTGAAAAATTCTCTTACATCCACTTCTAGAAATGCGAAATAGAACTAAAATCGTACATATAAATAAATCAAACAAACCACAAACTAACGAACTTGAAGCTGTAGAAAAATATACATCTCCTACATACATTATTAAAACCTCAAAATTCAAATCAAAATCGTAATATGCCTAAAAAAATCTTCAACCTTGAATTTTCTATATTGGCAAATAATCAATTGAAACAAATGAACTATTGACATTTTTCAGCAAACCAGGATCATTGACAGGCACACATATTTTGGGTCAGTGAACAGACAATCGGGTCGATTCTTTTTATAAATAGCAAAATGGTTGTAGACAAGATATTGCTGTCAGAGCAAAATTGCGCTAAATACTTTGGTCATCTCGACTATTTTTTTAACTGGACTGGACCTTGATTTGAAAATCAGTTATCGATCACCAAAGTAGCATTTTGCGCACTAGATACAAAAATAACTATTTATTCAAAGACTTTGATGCCTTTATGCACTACTCACCTTTTTTACCTTTAAACTCTTCTTCATAATCAAACCGTATTCCTCGGCATACTTAGCCCGATGAAAATATTTCATCGGGCTAATTCGATTTAGTTTGAACTGAAAAATCCAATGGCCTTATGGCAACCTAACCATCATAAATGTCTGAGCAGTAACATTCAATATACATAATGATTTACAAATAATGCATGAAATATCGAAAATCTATGCATCATTAAATTTTATCACTCATGATTGCAAGATCTTTTTTTGTCAAAGTAAACTTGACATTTCAATGAAGATGGGGAAGTTTCCTTCGGGTGAATTTTCATAAAATAAGTTCTGAACCCTCCAGTTTTATGTCCACACTGTAAGAATGGCGACCGATAAAGTCCAAGTCGTTTTCATTTTCAAATTAAAGCAATTTCTAATTTTCGGAGCGGCAAACTGTGACGTACATTCTGAATCTAGTCTGAAAATAGCTGATGGTGAAGAATATAGCTAGCGAATAGCTAACGAATGAAAAAAATAGAAGAAGAAGTAGAACTGGTAAACAAATATTACATAACAACAAATGCACTCAGAGCAGGAATGTTTTTGTTATTTAGGCATTGAAATATGTCGACTAGAGCTTGATCCTAAACGAAAATATCATTGAATCAATGAATCACTATCGGCTACATTCAATGATACTATCCTTCCTAATTTACTGCCATCGGTCAGAACAGAATGAAGCCGACACCAATGGCTCCTTCCTCTTGTGGTGCCTGTCAGTATTTCGAGTGGTGTGGACGGACTCAGAAGTTTTAGGCGCTGTTGCAAGATATAATCTGCAAGTTTCCTAAAAAAGAGATCAGTTTTACAAAGGCACGAATTTATTTGCAAAAAAAATACTGACAAGTTATGATTAACATATTGTAATATAACGATAGTGAAAAATTAATAATAATAATAATAATAATAATAACATTTATTCATGTATAATGAGTACAAATAGAGATACATAGAAAAACAAACATAGAAATACATGATAATATAATAAATATATGCTGATGAATAAATGTGAGCACTCAATAAGTGAGTTAACACTTGTTTTGAGGGTGAAACAAATACAGTGAGTAATAATAATAATAAAATAGAATTGATAATATAATATAGTATTTACTAGAATAATATATACATTTAAAAATGATAATACCTTGACGATAGCAAAAATACTTTCAGTAAATTTGATGTTTAACAATGTTTCTAGGGTTATTGATGATGTATGTTTTCAGTTCGTGCTTAAAATGAGCAGTAGATATAATATTTTTCATATTTTCAGGTAGGGAATTATAATACTAATTATAGATACTATCGCAAAATATCATTATTTATCATTATTAGTAATCAACTTCATTCAGCCAATGAGAGATTTATGGGAATTATTCATAATACTTGACAAAATAGGATTGAAGAACCTATTATATCTCATTGCTGTTATGATATAGTTATTATGCAATCAAAAAAACAATTTCCGGTAAGCAAGACATATTGATGATGTCGACAACGTCGTACTGGCACAGGGAACCGTATTTTAACTCTGTGTGAATGTGGATTTTCAGAAAGTAAGCCATAGGAATGGTGGAGGAGCCAAGTTCCTCTTTTAATTTTTTTTCTGAAGTAAAATTTGATCTTACGAAAAAAAGAATAAATACGTTTATATTAATTTTTTACAAACTTCACAGTGAGATAAAAACCTCAATATAGGAAACTTTCCCATTCTGAAGCCTGGCAATGATACGAAAAAAAATTGCTGTCAAAAATGACACTAGTGCGTGTAAGATCCAGTATTCTTATCTATCAGTTTAATTTGTGAACGTAAAACGTAAACTTAGTCACTGCCTTTGCTGATATATCTTGTCATTTGTCACTTGCTAATATGTCTTGTCAGTTGCCACAATAGATAGGAGTTTTCCGGTTCCGAAAGTATGGTTATTATCTAAGATGTCGGCTGGCACGCTTCATGCAGCTAATATAGTTTTCCTTCAGTAATAAACCAAACTACTTTGTTCAAATGTTGTTTCAATATACAGCAGTGCCTAAGAGCGCAATGAAAATTGCTGCAGTTTTTTAAAAAATTGCGAACTTTGAATAGCCTAATGATGAAGATTCTCAATAAGTTATTAGTTGCCCATAGGCATTTATTATTTTTTTCAATTAATAGTTCCAGTTTGTTCTGCAAAAATTGCCTATTTCGTTATGTTATGCTTTTGGATTTTTGAAAAACATTTTTGTATTTTTTGTTTACTCAAATATTTTTTTCATGTGAATTAATTCAGGAAAGGCCAACCCTGTAGTGTCTAAACAATATTGTTCATAATTGTTATAACAAAATCCGAACAGAATCCACCCGAACATCATACCTCGCCTAATAGCTTTTCATCAGATGAATAGATTTTAAGGTCGTTCCCTACCTTTATAACGCCTATACCAAATAATGCATTTCAAATTCAACTACAGAATGGAAATGAATCGATAGATTTATTTGAATTTTTGACAATCTGTTGATGTTGATGAATACTATATATCGTGGAAAGAATATTTCGAATTTTTCTTTCAGTTTCTCGTTAAATTGCTTTTGAAAATGACGAATTTGTTTTATTTTTTTAATTTTGTTCACATTCATCAGCATAAGACAATGCTAACATATTTCTATCGGCATGTCGATGAGTCAAAATCATGTGTTTTTTGCATAATGCATTTCAAATCGATTTTTGACTTCTAATTGATTTACGCTTACGATCTCCGCCCCTCGCTAGGCCACACCCACAATCCAATCAGAATGACCCATGATCAGCCACACTACTTATTATCCACTCTGATTACTACCCCATGAAACAAGTGATTTAGTGTTTGTTGATAACTTGTGCTGTGCGTATTGTTTTATTTGTTCCGTAATTGCTTAATCACATCTCCACCGACACTAACGAACGAACCCATCACCTTCTCCGATCCCTTCCAGGTGGTGGAACTGATGGGCTCGACCATTACCCAGATTGCGTGCGGCCGCCAACACTCGCTGGCCCTCGTGCCCTCGCGAGGGCGCGTCTACAGCTTCGGCACGGGCGGCTCGGGCCAGCTCGGGCTGCGCAAAACGATCAGCGCGTCGACGCCACAGGTGGTTCTGGGGCCGTGGGTGTCGCCCAGCGGCGTGTCGCTGATAGCCGCCCCTGAGGTGGTGGGGAATATCGTGATTCAACGGATATTCGCCGGTGAGCATCAGTTCCATGCCATGTTTTTTAGTGATACTAGTGTTTGATTCGAAGATGCAACAGTGTGGTCATCACAACGTTGTTTCATCTTTGCCTCGAATACTTTAACGAAATTCACATGAAACGTGAACTTTCATCTAAGGTTTATATTATTTTGAATGATTTCTATCCAGTTTCGTTTAGTTTCGTTTCATGCTTGTTTCTCAGGGATACTAGTGTTCCAGGCAAAAATGAAACAATTAAGTCTTCCGTTGTGTCAAGTCTGTGGTTTGACCGGGCACATACGTTCAGTATGAAGTCTGACCATAGGTTTGACCAACCAGCTGTTTGGGAATATCGGTCACGTTTCAAACCTGCCCACAATGTTACCACGATGACTTGACACAGCCTTCAAAACGTTGTTTTATTCTCTCCGCGAATACCATTACATTTAGATATAACGTGGTTTCATCTAAGATTTATATTATATAAAGAAGAGGAATTTATTTCGTTTGATGGTTCATTGCATACTTGTTTTGTTGGGATACTAGTGTTCCAGGCAAAGATGAAGCAATGTGGTCATCACATCGTTGTTTCATCTTGGCCTTGAATACTTCACTAGATTTGGATAAAACATGGACTTTTACCAATGTTTGAATGTTTACTATTGATTTCAAATATCGTGATCCATCTGATATTCACCATTTAGATCAAGAAGAAGAGTTTCGTTTGATGCCTGTTTTTTAGTGATACCATTATTGTGCTAGGCAAAGATGGAGCTAAAATCTTCAACTTTTTTCCCTTGTATAATAAATAACTATATAGGTATTCTACTATTTTGGTGTAACGTGACTTTTTTTATGTTCACATGACGTGTGGCATTGAAATACTAGAATAATTCTCGAATTGTACAGTGTGTCCAGTTTTCGATGCTTTTGCGTGATATCTCAGTTATCTCTCGAGATAGAACCTTGCGGTTTTCGCGGTCCTGTGCCACTTTTTTGTGAAACTTAAGATGGCCTAATCAAATTTTGCATAACTGTTTCCGTTCATGAGATACAGGGCGATTTTGAAAATTCATACTTCTTGGTATCTAATATTTGTGTTTTCTTAATTAATTAGTGTTGGTATTGTCTTTGTCCTCTTCATGGAAGAATCAAAAGAAATATTCCTTCAATTGAAACTTTTTTTATATGAAAATACCATAGCCTACTATTAAAATTCAATGTTTTAGTGATTTTGGAGCATTCTTCAAAGTTTTATATTCATACATTATATTTCATTTTGATGAGAATAAAATAAGGAATCTAATGAGCTTATGAAATACAGGGTGTTCCATTTGGAAAATCATAAGCTTGAGCCGTATCTCCAAAACCATACCCCGAAAAAAAAAATGAGTACGCCACTGGATTTGACGTAAAATTCTTTATGGGATGAGATTTTAGTTGGACATTTTAGCTGAGAAACGTCGTACATATGGAGGGGGTCCAAAAAGTATAAATTTTCAAAATCACCCTGTATCTCATAAATCTCAGTTATGCAAAATCTGATTAAGCCATCTTGAGTTTCACAAGAAAGTGGCACAGGACCGCGAAAACCGCAAGGTTCTATCTCGAAAGATAAATGAGATATCACGCAAAACATCGAAAACTGGACACACTGTACCGGGTGTACCACTAAGAAAGAACGCCGGCGGTATCTCGGAAACTATTTGCCGCACAGGTTTCGAAAAAAAATATGAATGATGAAAGTGGCCAAGAGAAATCGCTGGAAATTGTTCTCAGGTTTCCAGGACAGCCCCTAGAGGACGTAATTGCATTGGCCAGTTTAATAAACGGGTTTTTATGAAAATTTGATATATGAAGACATGTCAAAAACATTTTTCCATGTTCTCGAGTTTATTTCCAATCATTTCAATCAAAAAAATTGCGCTAGCTCTTTAAATGAAAGAGGGAGGGAAGGATAAATAATACTTTGGAAAAACTCTCATTACTACAGTTTGGTGTAACGGAATTCAACGATCTAGGTCTCATTATGAAGGGTTTTCTTGGTTCTTCTAGATGAATCACGAATCAAGTCGATTTGAATCCTGTGGTGGCCGCTAGATGGCATCGTTTGAAAAATCAACCGATTTGCCATTTTTTTTAGAGAATTTCAAATGGAACCATATATTTTTCCTGCTATGATATGGAAGTAGAGTAAACGAGAAGGAAAATAGTGAAAACCGTAAGTTGATACACTAAACTGTAGTAATAAGATTTTTTCCAGAGTTCTATTCATCCTTCCCTCCCTCTTTTATTTAAAGAGCTAGCGAAATGATTGGAAATCAACTCGAGAACATGGAACAAGTGTTTCTGATATGTCTTGATATATCAAATTTTCATAAAAAAACATTTTTCAAGTCGGCCAATGCAATTATGCCCTCTAGGGGCTATCCTGGAAGCTTAAAAATAGTTTCCAGAGATTTTTCTTGGCCACTTTTATCATAAATATTTTTTTCCGAAACCTGTGCGGCAAATAGTTTCCGAGATACAGCCGGCGTCCTTTCTCAGTGGTACACCCGGTACAGTTTTGTACAGATTTTTGGTTTGTATTGCCTTGGTACAGTTGAACATTCAAATGTACAGCTTTTTGTATAATTGTACACCCTGGAACAACACTGCGGGCCTATAATAAATGGATATTTCGCAGGCGGCGATCACTGTTTCGTGTCGGTGATTCCCCAGCAGAGCACAGCGTCGCCCTACGACTGCCGCGACCTATCGGAAGACACCCAAATCCTGGTCATCACTGAATCCTACGCCGAAAGCCTCGCGCGCACTCCGTGCGAGGGCGCCGTTGATCAAGACGTTTTGACGTTCCTCGAGACCTTCTTCAAGAGCTTGTCTTGCTTGAATGGTTCTTTTTTGTTGGACAATGGGGGGCACTATTATTGTACCAGCAAGCATCACGGAGTGGATTTGGAGAAGGCGGAGGCGGTGTTTTCTCTCATAGGGAAAATTGAGAACAAGAGTATAAAGGATGTGGTGAGTGATACTATGGACGAAATATGTTTATATGTTTTTCGAAATTCATTAGCATTACTGCGGCATTCCTGATTCCTGACTCCTTAAGTAAATGTAATATGGCACCGCGGCCACACTTCTATGTGAAACCATGTGAAACCAGTTTGCACCAAACTTTACTGTTAGCATCGTTTGTTATCTGTTGATTCATTGATTGTGATTTATATAGGTAATGGGAATTAATTGATTGCTTGTTGTTACGCATTCTTCTTTTAATTTTCCTTTCGTTTTCAGCTCGGGCTTGTTCGGATGTTCAATTAAGAATTCATACTAGATTCATAGATCACGACTAACGTGGATAGAATATGGCGTAATCACAGACAGTGTTTTGTTTCTCCCAAAACGCTCGACCGCAGATTCCGCAATAATGGCATATTGGTTCTCAGTTGTCCGCAAGATGGCGACACTTTTTACAGATGTATTTAATGACAGAAAACAGAAAATGGCACTTACACACCACTTGCACCAGAAATAATAACATAACATTCATAACATAACCTCAAATCAAATGAGATTAAATTTGAAAGTACGAAACTGTAATTTTGGGAATTTTAATTATCATCAGTTCTACTAACCTTTAATTTTGATCAGATTTCGCCATCTAACGGGTAAAATGCGACCCATATTCCGCTATATTGAAAAGAATCCTTCTGTCAAGTAGGCCGTAGGTCAAGAACTTTGACCAAAAAACAGTAGATGGGATTTGATAGAAGTTTCTACACCATCTTCTGTTCATCCTGATCACGACATTGTTTCGAGCAGATTTCCTTTTCTGATAGTTTTTTTACTTATCTAATCTGATCTAAATTGACTGTTTTTTCGAAATATCTATCAAATGAACAAATCAATGGTTGTTGAATCCAGGAAATATGTTTCAGTTGCTTCGTACACTTCCTTGTGTACGAACATTATTTCACTACACATATTTGCTTTTGGGGATACAGAATTGTGTGAGGAAGTCCTGCTGAGTTGCCGAGAATTGGAGAAACTCCTTCATGCATGTTTATAGAGCACTTGATAGCTGAGAATGTTGAAAATGGAAAGCTATGGTAAATCATGGGTAAACCAAAAATATCTGGAGGGGACATCAGCAACAGCCACAGTGAAGATTCCAAATCATAACCTCCAAAAGTTGAAAAAATCCAATACCTACTTTCTTCCCCTATCCTCCTTATTTATTCACGATGTTCCACGAACATTATAGGAATTCACTTTCGTGCGCTCTAAGAGATAAAAAAAGGAAGTGAACATGCTAGATATTGTTTGAGATGTGTCCATTGTATTTGTTCCTGAACAAAACCTGGAACATTCAGGTATTATCAACGATAGGTAATATGGCTTTCGTCATCAGAGATCAACTGTTGACTTGCTCTCTTACGTCTCACATATATGGCAGCAATCTATTGAAAAATATGGTGAAACCTTAGCCGTGGCACTTGATATCTCCAAGGCATTCGATTGAGTCTGGCACCACGGACTCCTCGCCAAGCTTCCATCTTATGGCTTGCCTCCTCAGCTATGTTCTCTGCTAGCTAGTTTTATGTCAAATAGGTCTCTCCATGTAGTGGTCGACGGAATTTCATCTGACTCTCTTTTCATAAATGCTGGTGTTCCGCAAGGATCAATTCTAGCATGTCCAGTACACAGCTTCGCGGATGATAGTTCCCTCCATACCGCCTTCTCTCCCAGGGCTCCAATACCAGCCAGGCAAATCAATAACGAACGAGGGAGAAATGATGACAACATAAATATGGACTTGGCAACAATTCTCGAATGGGGATTTAATAACTTGGTAGATTTCAATGCAAACAAAACACAAGTCCGCCTTTTCTCCAGAAAAGCCGATCTCAATGTGCCCAACATAAACTTGTCAGGAGTAACCATACCTTTGAAGACATCCATTTCGATGCTTGGTATTACTATCAGCAATAACTTTTTTTGGGAAAATCACGTGAGATCAATTGCTATAAGTGCATCCCAAAAATTTGGTTTTCTGTTTCGGGCTAGGAGCTATTTCACTTCCAGTCAGCTGCTCAGATCTATAAGGCACAGATCTGACCTGTCCTGGAATACTGTTCCCATATTTGTAGTGCAGCACACAAACATACCCTGAAACTGTTGGATTCTGTCCAAAAATGGGCAATTCGTCTCGTGGGTGATGACTTGCTCACAAACTCACTCACTTCTCTGGAACACCGTAGAAAAGTTGGCGATCTGGCTCTATTTTATAGATATTTCCATGAACGATGCTCTTCTGAAATATCAACAATTGTTCCTCCCTTGGCAGTCCCCGCGAGATTAACCCGTCGAGTTGAGGCTTCACACCCCTTTGTGGTCACTTTGGAAACCTGCAGAATATCTCCAAAGACTCGTTCATTCAACGAACAGCGAGTCTCTGGAACACATTGCCAAGGGAGGTATTCCCCGAGGCATATAACCTCCAGAGATTTAAGAATACCAATTCCTACCTTATTTCCCTTGGTTCTCACGATTTTCTCTGAACATTACAGAATATTCTATTTCGTGGGAACCAGAACATAAAAAAAATTTGAATTGTACAGTAATACTCAATAACACTTGAAGAAACAAAAGATTTGAAGTCATCACATGAAAACCAGAAAGAATTGAGCAAGATAAATCTGTGGGTATGATAATGAGAAAAGAAAGAAAGCAGGATTAATTTGAAAAGAATTGAGGAGTAAAAGTGTGTTTGACGTATTATTATGGTACAATGATTCCGTAGTATTGTCCCCACCATTCGCGATTTCATTCATTTATCCGTGTTGGGCTGAATCGCGGTGTCTATTTATCGTTACTCTAGTCTTCAGGTATTCCTCCTGACAATCAGTCAAGAAATCAACTTTTTTCTCATTCCATTCCTCCCTTCTCCTTCTAGATATGGAACTGCATAACGGAAGACCTCTTGCGCCATCTGTCCCCCTCGCCCCCCGACGTCGAAACTCTCCGAGTCTACCTCACCATCCCCCTCTACCACGAGTTCAACAACCCTAAGCGGCACTCGAGGCTGCAGAAGCCCTTCGCTAGCGCCGTGCTGGCCTTGAAGCAGCCCGCCGTCAGGGTGTTGAGCTCGTGGTGGGGCAGTACCGGTTGCGAGTACTTCGAGAGGCTGGTCAACGCGTTCAAGACGGTGGCAGGGTATGTGCTCAGAGGGCAGAACGTGCCCGAGGGTAAGGTGAGTTTGGAGAGTTCATAAATCAACATTTCATAACGTCTACTACATTCATTTCTTATTGCCTTATGTTGGCCAGAGTGGTAGAAGAATTCCTGCGAGAGTTAAAGAACACACAAAACTTGTTGAACAATCTATAAATTCGTCGATAGATGTCTTGATTTCTCAACATTATTATGATTTTTAAGATGGTTACCGATGTTCAGTATCTCATTCAACCTTCAAATATCGTGTTCAAGTGCCAGATTTTCAGCAAAACGTACCCGGGGGTGAGTTGAGTTTTGTGAGGTCATAAAGAAGTTTCATGCCCTAAGACCCCATTTTTTTTCTATTTTCTAAATTATGTCCACAAGATTCTTTCCTCAGTACCTGATTGTAATTCCTGATTTGTTGGTCAGAGTGGCAGAAGAATTCATGCTTAATGAACATTTGAAATTGGTTGAACAATCTCAAATCTCATCGTTAGAAGTTTCAATTTCTCAAGATTTGTTTGATTTCAGATGGAGTACTGATATTTCACATATTTCTCACTTCAGATTTTAGAAATTTCGTGTTCAAGGCCCAGGTTTATCAGTTGTTTTTTTATACCTTAATGGCCGGCAGATCACACAAAAATTATAATCCACGTGTTTGGACAGAGTTTTATCGATTTGAAGATCTGCAAATCTCAATATATTGGCCAAAGTGGTAGAAAAACTCAGACGAGAATAAACGAACATTATTAAAGTTATCGAGAAATCAAGGGATTACTCAATAGATACTTGAATACTCAACATCATTTTGACACTAATATGACACTGATTTCTGGTATATTGGTGTTAATATGACGTGAGTTTGGAAATTTCATAACAATTATTTTTCTTCACACCTTAGTCTTAACAGATTTACCCAATTAACATTAATTTTCATACCAGATACTATTTATTGTACTTTGGCCAACAAGATTACGTGTTCAGTATTTTATTGACTGTGAATACATTGGTCAAAATGGTGAGAGAATGCAGACCAAAGTAAAAGAACATTTTTGAGGACTCACATTGTTCTCTTTTGTTTCTAAATTCGTTTTTGAGCAATCGAATATTTTATAAGTAGGGGACACAAATGAACATATTATTTAGTTTGGAACTTTTATATTGTTCCAAGAGGTATCAATACTACAGACATGTCAAAACTGTAGTTTAAGTTTCTACCTAACTGACAAAAAAAAACAGTCAGCGAACTTTTATTTACAGGGTGATTCACATAAGAACCGACATAGAGCAGGGGAATGTAGGGGGTCCCAAAATATGGCAATTTAACGCAACTTACCTCTATACCAAGTTGCTTTCCTAAGGAGTTATAGGCTTTGAAAGTGAAGTTATAAATTTTGAAAAAAATTAATATCTCCGTTATTCTTGAACTTGAAGCAACCAAATTTGGTACACTTTGTGGATGTATTTAGGGCGTTAGTTGACAGTAACTAGAGTTTAATTGAAATTTGTAAAGGGGGTATACCGGGTGGCGCACCATTAATATTCAACAGAATTTTGTTAACCCTTGATGGATTTTGAAAATCTTTGCTTTGTTTTGTGGGCAATTCAATTCAAAAACTTCTCTTAGTCTAGTAATATCTCGAAAAACCTCATCATATTCATCAAAAGCTCGAATAACTGAAAACGCGTGCTCTAGGTGTGTTATTTAAAATCATCGAAAATTCAAAAGTTGGCTATGAAAATAAACGTCAAACTTGACAATGAAGCAAGTGAGTTGTTCAAAAAGTATTTTATCGATAAACAATTGTTTGTTCTGGTTGTTGTTTAAGTTTTTTGTGTTTATTTTGGTTAGTTGTTAATCGCAGTTTTTCACATTTCAGTATCTGTCCTTACTTTACGTATTTTGTTACGAATCTAAATAATAATTTTCCAGCCAATTTCTACTGATCACAATTACCTACTTTCTTGTTGTACGTTGATTTTCATAGCCAACTTTTGAATTTTCGATGATTTTGAATAACACACCTAGAGCGCGCGTTTTCAGTTATTCGAGTTTTTAATGAAAATGATGAGGTTTTTCGAAAAATTACTAGACTAAGAAAAGTTTAAGAATCGAATTGCTCACACAACAAAGGATATATATATATTTTTGAAATCCATCGAGGGTTAACAAAATTCTGTTGAATATTAATGGTGCGCCACCCGGTATACCCCCTTTACAAATTTCAATTAAGCTCTAGTTACTATCAAGTAACGCCCTAAATACATCCACGAAGTGTACCAACTTAGGTTGCTTTAAGTTCAAGAATAACGGAGATATTGATTTTTTCAAAATTTATAACTTCACTTTCAGAGCCTATAACTCCTTAGGGAAGCAACTTGGTATAGAGGTAAGTTGCGTTAAATTGCCATATTTTGGGACCTCCTCCATATACAATGTTGAAAATATTTGAATAATGTAAACAATTCAATGAAGTGATTCAGCTTATTTATTTCAGACAGCCTTTTATGATTCTAGTCTAGTAGCAGCGCTGGATATGCTGGCGCTTCTAAATAAAATTAATCACTCTGTAGAAGGTCTGAAAGTGCCTTATGATACTTTTCACATCAGTGATATTTCCGAGTGCCTAGATATCAGAGTGGACTACGTTAGATGGCTCTCAGATCAAGGAGTGAGTACCTATTTGGTTTCTAAAACTTTTATTTTCGCATTCACTAGCTATTTAAAACACCCATGAGTACTTCTTGAGATCATTCATGATTTTTATTATTTGTTGAATAAAATTTTCTGTACTTTTTTGCCAACTATTATTTCCACTCATCCAACAACTGTTTTTAAATTGAAAATTAAACCTATTCATTGTGAAATTGAATTAGAATCAATATTTTTTCATCGCATATTTCAATCACACGTGATACCAATTTTTAGTGTAAACAGTTTCTCATTTTCAGTCTGGCAAACTATTTCTATGCAACTATCCTTTTGTATTCGATGCAAACGCAAAGGTTCAACTACTAGAAACAGATCAAGCTATCCAGGTAAGATGTTATTTGTTTTGTTCTTATAAAATCAATGTGAATTATGAGTCAGGTACATATCTATGATTCTCTGATAACAATGTTATTCGAAATATGTTGGACAAACGCGTTAAAATATAGGAACCAGGTTCAAAGAGCATGATAATTCCAGAGGAAAATCTCGAAATGTCCTATTGAATCGAAGTGATGGATAAATAATTTTAGATGCACAAAGCTATGACGGAAGCTGCCCAACAGGCTGTACTTGCGATGATGTTCTCCCCTCAAAGCTTGAACTCGATAAACAGCTTTTTGATGTTGACTGTCTCCAGAGATCACATTGTTGAAGACGCTCTTAGGGAATTGGGCGAAGTTCATCCGAATGACCTGAAGAAACCTTTGAAGGTAATTCGGATCCAACCTGGATTTTAGTTCTATCCCTTTCCATATTGCATTGGTTAGAGTCATAACCTACAGACAGTATGGGTTGCGTGCAAGAACTGTCAGATGACCGACCCTGAAGGTGAAACATTGAAACACAACCTCACTTTTCTTATTTGTTTACAAATCATTGAAATAGTGTTTTTCGGCTATGCATTAATTCGTACATGCCATCACATTGTGCTGTTGTACAATGCACAAAAAATGCAGCGAGATACGAAGAAATCCGGTTGGTATCACTCACATATAGTTCTGATTTTGAAATTTGGTAATTTCTCTGATTTCTCATCAGAATTCCTCCTGCAATAGGAGCTAATAAAAATACTCGTGAGATTTCTAGAAGAATGCAAGAAGATTGGATTCATGCAGTGAAACGGGAGGACTGGTGTGACATGCTGACGAAATATGATCATGTGTGTTGTAGACATTTTCAATCTATTAACAGTATTAGCTTCTATTGCAGAAGTGGCAGAAAGAATTTTAATAAGAAATAACATAATTTCATAATAATAACTATGTGATATTACTATTTACCTCAAAAATCATATTCCTTCGTCTCTCGTTGCATTTTTTGTGTATTGTACAACAGCACAATGAAAAGGCATGCTTGAATAAATGAATAGCGCAAAAAACACGATTCTTGCGCCAATATATTGTGAAAAACTATTTCAATCCTTTGATTCCGCTGTAAGCGAATTAAAAAAGTGAGGTTGTGTTTCAATGTTTTACAAAAAAGTGAGGTTGTGATTCAATATTATACCTCTAGGGTCGGTCATCGTGCACGCGACCTATTTTGGTACGTTCATTGATTTATATTTTATTCGGATTCCAGGTGAAATTTCATGGTGAAGAGGCCGAAGATGCTGGTGGTGTCACGAAAGAATTCTTCCTGTTACTGTTGCGGGAAATCTTGGATCCCAAATATGGCATGTTCAGAGAATATGAAGAAACTAGGGCGATATGGTTCTCGGAGAGTAGCTTCGAAGATAATTCTGTCTATTTTCTTATAGGTCGGTAAGATTTAAAATTTTCAAGATACTGCACATGTACATACATTTCGAGCTCAGTTTTTATTCACATCTAGCAAAAACTTCGTTCTTTATAGTAATATTCATGCATGGTTCATGACATATCCTCAAATGTCCCATTTTTACTCAGATGACCTACTAAAAGAAAAAATTTTTAAAATTGTTCTTATACATCATTCGGTTGCCCCCTTCCGAGCAACCCTCAAAAGTGTTCAAGAGACTTGTGCGAGCAAGGAATGACGGGGATCTTATATTCTAACGTGTGATCCCAAACACTTTCTTAGGCCATCAGAAAAATTTCTGCGGTCGTGGTGGGAATCGAACCCACCTATTGGCAATCCAACTTGGATAGAAACTGAAACTTCTACCACGAGGCTACTATGGGCATACTACTCACATAGTTCCTTTTTCATGATCACAGGGTCATCCAGACAGGATGCTCATTATAAAATTCGATCTAGGCTTCGTAAACAATGGATGAAAATATTTCGAGTTCATATATACCTGAATGTTTACTGTCCTAATGTGAAACGATCTTCTACTTCCAAAGTGCAAGTTCTCTTTCTCACTTCCTTAAGTCCCCGCGTTCATTACACAAGCATGAGACATCTTTCTGAATTACATCACAACATAAGTAAAAGATCAAAAAAGAATATCCTAACCATTTGCTAGGTATGATTCTCGGCTTGATTTACAACTCCACCATAATCGACATACCTTTATCGTGCTCTACAAGGAGCTACCCAACGAGCCCTTCGGCCTAAACTACCTCAGAGGCCTCTCGCCGGTCATGGCCAACTCGTCGCAGAGCCTCCGACTACGGAGGGGACACCATGGAGTACTTAATGATGAACCTTTTCATATTCAAAACAATATTGTTACGTTATTCGGGTGCAGAAGCGAACACGACACTATTTATTTTCGAACTGATTTATTTAAACTAAAGAAACACTAATTTATATCGAACTTATAACTACTATTTATGTAAAACGATTTATATCACGCGGTATATAACTGTCTCTCTGACACTCGCTGCTTAACTGCCTGACAGCAGTTGTTCGGCCGTTTATATATGAGATCACTTGGCAGGCTTTGGTTCGAGAAGGTTCTCGAATGATCTTCCGTCTCATTCTTTTTGTTCTATATAGAAGCTTCTTAGAACAAAACCTCTCTCTCTAATTGTTCCATCGATTGTTTCCAGAACATTCCAGAATCTTCTGTGACGTTATTTGTCACTGTGGCATATATTGAGTGTTCGGAAATATGCTGGTGTATGTAGGAATCATTGGGAGGTTGGAGAACAATCTGGGATGCGTGATACAGGATGATCGTTGTACTCCTGTCTTACTGATGATGTTTCTAAAGCCCCTCTAAGGGAAATATCATTACAATATTATGATTATTACGCTGCTATTGTAGGTTGGAGATTACTGACAGCCAGTACAGCTTTGTTTGTCGGATTTCATTCGTCACAAAATTGACATTTGTAGTTTGTCTCGGTGGTCATGTGATTTTCTGCCTCCTCTTGTGGTTTGTTTAACAAGATGGAAGTCATTCAGTGTTTCGTCAACTTGCCCATGGAATTGCTCCAAATGTCAGTGGGCTCTTTGGTTTTTTATCACTCAACATAATGCCCATCTATGGGGGTTTTCATGGTTATCCCCTAGAAGACAATTAACCATTTAACTTTTATGTATTTTAATTCTCTACGGTTATAAAAATTTGTTCACCTTCATGTAAGCTATCTATGGTAAGGATTCCTCGTGTTACTTAATTAAATTTTCCCATTGTAGGACTATGTAATTTCTTATTAGGCTGATGATGGACATACGTATGTCCGAAAACATGTTCCCTTGATGTGATTATTCACAATGAACCCGTGAGTTTTCACAATAAATTGTCGTGGAGATGACATTGTGTTATATTCAGTATTAACCACTGTACTCCACTTTGAGAAACGATGGACTTCTACCAGGGATTAATATTATGATTCCTAAAATGAGTTAATTTACGTTATAATATTGCTCATCGTGAAATTATTCTATCCAGAGATTATACACTCCCCTTCTATCTAAGCTTTGCAAACAATGAAAATATTTCGAGTTTATAACTGAATGTTTACTGCTAAATCTCATAACTAAGAGATCTAGGATGAACAGAGTTGCCCCAATTGTCAGCAGGAGCGAGACAGTACTGTTTCGACCCACCAGGTCTCATCAGCCGCTCTCGGTCTGCTGACAACTGGTATATCACCCATTTCGAAGACGCAGGGTATAACATGAAGTTGTAGTCATGTTGTAGCCATCTTGTGGATGACGTGTGACTATAGGTGGCAGCGCCATACAGTGTATGTCGCGATATATCTGTATCCTACCTCAGAACTTTGCCACAAGATGGCTACAACATGACTACAACTTCATGTTATACCCTGCGTCTTCGAAATGGGTGATATACCCGAAGCGTAGAGTTGTCCCAGTTGTCAGCAGACCTGGTGGGTCGAAACAGTACTGTCTCGCTCCTGCTGACAATTGGGGCAACTCTGTTCATCCTAGATCTCTTAGTTATGAGATTTAGCAGTTGAATAGGTGGTGGAAAAATTCCACTCAAGTATGTCAGGTAGTGCCATCTGTCAGCAGAGTGATTTACTTGTAGTACCACTCTGTAGCGTATAGATGTAGGGGTCTGTACGTGTGACTATAGGTGGCAGCGCCATACAGTGTATGTCGCGATATCTCTGTATCCTACCTCAGAACTTTGCCACAAGATGGCTACAACATGACTACAACTTTATGTTATACCCTGCGTCTTCGAAATGGGTGATATACTCGAAGCGTAGAGTTGTCCCAGTTGTCAGCAGACCGAGAGCGGCTGATGAGATCTGGTGGGTCGAAACAGTACTGTCTCGCTCCTGCTGACAATTGTGGCAACTCTGTTTATCCTAGATCTGTTAGTTATGAGATTTAGCAGTTGAATAGGTGGTGGAAAAATTCCACTCAAGTATGTCAGGTAGTGCCATCTGTCAGCAGAGTGATTTACTTGTAGTACCACTCTGTAGCGTATAGACGTAGGGGTCTGTACGTGTGACTATAGGTGGCAGCGCCATACAGTGTATGTCGCGATATCTCTGTATCCTACCTCAGAACTTTGCCACAAGATGGCTACAACATGACTACAACTTCATGTTATACCCTGCGTGAATGTTTACTATCCCAATTTGAAACGACCTTCTACTTCCTAAGTGCATTTGTTCTCGTAATAATCTTGGTTGAGTCCTCCGTGTTTATTACATCTGAATTATATCACAGTTCAACATAAATGTAAAAGATCATGAAAGAATATCAACTACATCACCATTCACTAGGTATGATCCTCGGATTGGCGATATACAACTTCACCATAATCGACATACCTTTTCCGCTGGTGCTCTACAAGAAATTGCTTAACGAGCCCATCGGCCTCAACGACCTCAGAGGCCTATCGCCCGTCATGGCCAACTCGTTGCAAAGCCTGCTGGATTACGAAGGGGACGACATGGAGGACGTTTTCGCGCTCAGCTTCGACGTGAGCCGTAACGCTTTCGGGGAGGCTGTGACAGTTCCGCTGAAGCCGAACGGATCGAATATTGCTGTCACGCAAGAGAACAAGTGAGTTGGGATGTTGGTTGGACTGTATAATTGACTGATGTATATTGGCTACTTCCATAATTTACGGAAAAGTATGTGTTTATAATCATAAAAGTGAGGAATAGGCGAATTATGTGGCAATGGAATTATGGGCAGAAAATCGATGGCATGTTATTGATATACAGGGTGAGTCAAAAATGTGTACCGAGCTTTCTGGGGGTGATGGAACATTGAAAAATAAGTGTAGTTTGATGATTAAACTCATGGACCAAAATGCATATTAAGGGAGATATATCCTTCCAAAGTTGATAAAATTAAAATAATTTCTCCGCATAACTTCTGAACGATGAAAGCCACCCGATTGAAATTTTGTGCATGAATGTATGTTGTCAAAATACATTCTTTCGTCACTATAACATCATGGGTTCCTCCTATTATGTTTTATTCAACGACAGGACTTCAACATCTTTTTGATAACTTGATTATAATTGTTGACTTGACAACCATGCTTCATGAGTGGAAATGGAAGATTATCTGACCAATAACGAAACAGCATGAAAACTTACGTCACCATTTATTCGACGTATCGCCAAATGGCGGCCATGAAGGTTCGTTTGAAATATGCTCTGAATTTCAACAATTTCGAACAACGCATAGACTCATTATTTACATAAAAAAACGCGAGAAGTATTACAAAAAAATTAATTTAGGTTAATAACGACACATAGTAGAGTAAATGAATGCCAATAATTCATTATCAGTCCACTCACCCATTGCGATTTTTGTGGATGTGCTAGACCATTCAGAATTTCGCTTTGCACAAATGAACTGCTAGTAGTAAACTCAGAAACATTCCAACATTGTGAAGAATGAAAAATATGCGATGACAATTTCGAAATTCGAATTTCATCTTATGACATTTGAAAAATAGGTATCTATCAAGATTATTTATTTCGAAATTGAGTGCAGTTGGATGTTTCATGCCCTCTTTCATCAAATTTTGACTTTCACAAATATGTTTCGTGGGGTAATAAAGAACAACAACAACCATAGCCTAGAACTGTTGATGGCATCCTCAATCAGAGAAAGGTGGCCTGAATACCGCGGACAATAGAATTACTAGCTGCAATATGGTGTACTGCTGCTGCTGCATACTTTTCAAAAATTATTCTTCAGGAACTAAAGAGGACATATAATTTCATGGGTAGGTAGATTTTTTAGTTTTTCTAAAGACGAGACTGCTAAAATGCAGTGGATTAACTTCTGAAGATTAGAAGAATGTGAGCTGTTTGTCTCAGATAGGACATCTCATTGTGGATGATCCTATGGACTGATCACAGAGCTGATAGAGGTCTTTAGGTGTATTATATTCTGTATATATTAGTGACGTTTATATCCAGTGTACTTAGTTTATTTACTTTTTCAATTGAATCATTATTTGACATGTTATTGATGATTTACCGACATTGTGACATAGAAATTGCAATAGTCTTTTGAAAATCAGATCATTAAGTACTTCAGCCCTCAGTGCTCTTACTATTGACTCAATAATTCCACATATTCTGTTTTTTCATTAGTGAAGTTGAGTGATTGCAGCTATAAGATTTCAAAATTCTCGCCTCATTCAACTGTGAATTATTGATATGTGCAGTTACGATTTTGGCCCATCTGAGACATGCAGATATATTGTCCTCTTTGTTTAATGTTGGCGTATTTTCCACACAGCCCTTTGTGCGAATTGTCTAAGGTTGAGAGGTTGCTTAGACTGCATGAAAATGGGTGGATACTGCCATTCTTCCATAAACCGCGAATAAGTGTATGCTAACATAATGAACTGGCTTCTACATATATCGAAGACTGGAACCTTTGGCACGATAATCATACTACACCGCCTTACCACTGTCCAAACCGATTATTTCATACGCCTCTACACTTAGAATCCTCAAGGGGGGATTGAAACCAAATTTTCTACGGAGGGCTACATGGAATAGGTCCTTTTATCCTTATTCATAACTCTAGCACTATTCTCGACTACCTCCAGTCTTTCATGTGATTTCAATATTCTAACATCATCAAGTTGTTTGACCAATTTTAACCCAGACTGATTACGCTTTCTGAAGTCTCTAAAAATCTTATCAAGTCCTTTCGTTTCTTGGAATTGAACGGGATTCCAATCCAATTGAAAAGTCGTAGAATTTCAAAGGACTAACTTGAATTTCATATTTCAGAAAGGAATATGTGGACCTTTATATAAACTACATATTCAACGAATCCGTCAAGCTTCATTACCAGGCTTTTCACGCTGGTTTCATGAAAGTCTGCGACGGTCGAGTGCTCCAACTTTTCCATTCCCATGAACTGATGGCCGTGGTTGTGGGCAATGAAAACTACGACTGGCACGCTCTAGAAGAAGCTGCCGAATACAAGAATGGGTAAGTTACAATGGGGAAGTTTCGTTCCGATAAATTTTCATAAAATCGGCTCGGACGCTTTACAGAATGGGGATCTATAAAGTCCAAGTCGTTTTTATTTTCCAAATTTTCGGGGTAGCAAACTATGACGTACATTCTGATTCTAGTCCGAGCATAGCTGATGATGAAAAATATAGCTAGCTAGTAGCTAACGAATAAAACACGAATAAAAAATGGGGTCTTTGTTGATTATACCGGGTGACCCGGAACCAATTTACCCCCCTGTATCTTCGTTGGTATTTTGTATGGATGCTTCAAATTCGGTACTTCGATTTGATGTTATGAATGTACAATTTAGCAAGTATCAATCCAATTATGTCACTTCCGGTTTGACCGGAAGCGCATCCAATTTTTATATTTCGAATAGGAAGTATTATTTTTTTTTTGAAAATTACAATTCGGTACAGAATTACCTTTACAATGACATATCACAATCATACTTTCAATTCACAATCTGCTGGTATAATTGACATTTTATAAAAAAAATACTTTTTGTGTTCCCCTCGTAACGGATCATTTTCATGAAAGTATGCTGTGGAAGATTGAATTATTGTTGCTTACATGATATTGTTCAATCTTCCACAGCATACTTTCATGAAAATGATCCGTTACGAGGGGAACACAAAAAGTATTTTTTTTATAAAATGTCAATTATACCAGCAGATTGTGAATTGAAAGTATGATTGTGATATGTCATTGTAAAGGTAATTCTATACCGAATTGTAATTTTCAAAAAAAAATAATACTTCCTATTTGAAATATAAAAATTGGATGCGCTTCCGGTCAAACCGGAAGTGACATATTTGGATTGATACTTGCTAAATTGTACATTCATAACATCAAATCGAAGTACCGGATTTGAAACAACCATACAAAATAACAACGAAGATACAAGGGGGTAAATTGGTTCCGGGTCACCCGGTATAATGAAAAATAACGAACTAACAGATCAGCTCTCGGTGTGCCTGTTAATATTTTGTGTGGTGTGGACGGGCTCGAAGTATTATGCGCTCTTGCAAAATATAATAATAATAGGACTTTATTAGGCGAAAGTTTAGCTACAAAGAGCTATTTTTACGCTTCAACCTAAGTGCATAATATATGTATGATAAGTATAGGTATTACAAGATATTTTCCAAGAAAACAAACCGAATCTAATTTGTATTCTAAATATAACTCTTCACTTTTCTATTTTTTGAGTTGTGGAAATATTAAATGACGTAGAAGTAATCTGTGCATTTAGGTAGAATGTGTTCTTTGTTCATCAAGAATTTTCTTTTTTAGCTTCATTCTGAATGACTGGATCTCAGATTTTTAACGTAATCATCTAAAGCATTATAAATTAGTGGTAGTTGGTAGGAGAAAGATGCTTTAAATTTACTGGTGGAGTAGTGTGGGATGTTCACAGTAGCAAGATTCCTTGTATTGAGGTTATGCAATTGATGACGAAATTTTATTTTTTCATAAATTTAGTAGGGACGTTCCTCATTGATAATCTTATGGAAAGCAGTAGTGGCATGTAAAAGACGACGTTTTTTCATGAGGAGTCAGCCCAGAGATGAAATATATTCAGTGATATGATCAGATCTACGCACGCCCCAGATCAGTCTTGTGGAGATGTTTTGCATTTTTTGAATTCGATAACAGTCAAAGCAGTCGATACATGGACCATATTCTATTTCGCAATAGTTGAAGTTATTTAAAACTAGTTGATCACACAGTTTTTTTTAAAATCAAGAAATAGTAATCGTCGACTTGAATACAGCAGTTTGAGACACCCGTAAGCATGCTGAATAGATTTGCTGACGTGTTCCGTGAATTTCAAATCAGAGTCAATAATTAAACCTAAATTTTTGCCTGCAACTTTCCTACAAAATAGATCCGTTTTATGAAAGAACGAATTCATTGATATAATATGTCTGGCAAGTTATGATTATCATTTTGTAATATAACGAAAGTGAAAAATTATACATACTATTGCACAATATCATAAATTATCTTTATCAGCAATCAACTTCATCCAGCAAATAGGAGATTTATGAAAATTATTCATAATTCTCGACTAAGTAGGATTAAAAAACCTATCCCATTGCTGTTATGATATACTTATAATGTATTCAAAGAGTAATTTCCGGAAAAAATAAAATTGGAAACTTCCCAATTTTTCGAGGTTGTAAGTGGTTTGGAGGTTGATTTTTTCAAATTTCAGGTATAAATCTTCGGATGAGACGATAAGGTGGTTTTGGGAGGTGATACACGAAATGTCTTTGGCTGACAAAAAGAAGTTCCTCCTGTTTCTCACTGGCAGTTATAGGATACCAATTCAGGGAATGAAAGGTATCAAGGTAAGACATTTCAGTTTGGAAATTACATCACGCTACACTTTATCGCGTTGTTACAAATTGTTCTGGTGTTGCTACTGCAAAATTTTGCCTACTTTTATTTTCGAGTGGATGTTAATTTTTGTGAAATTACTGCAGGTTTACTCGGTGTTGTTTGGCTCGAGTAACGGACGATATTGAATCATCCTCCATCCTCTTGACACAATATAGCA